ATATCCTAATTACAAGAATTCTAAAATAAACAATTAAAAATGCATGAACTCCATTGTATGGGGTTAAATTAAGTTCACATTAATACGGATTCAATGAGGTAGAATTTTTCACTTGCAAGTGAAATATTCATCAGGGATGTTTCTTAGCTTATTTTGACAAAATTGAAACAAATTGGCTGCTAAAAGCGAATTATTATTTCACTAATTCACTTTCATTAATGATTGAACAAAAACATTCATATTTTTTTTTTTTATATCTCGTTGCTAATGCCCTTTTAATTAAGTATTAAGTATGTATAAAAAATCAATTTTTTTATAGCTAAGTGTTGTTTTCAGTATCAACGTCGGAGGTAATAAATGTAAAGTAAAAATATATATTTCCGCTATCCTTGGTGTGAAAATCGTTCAGTAATGTCAAAGTGAGAATGCCCACGTTTTTTTTTAAATTACAACTGTCACTAAATATATTTGGTAAATTGGTCAAATCAAGTCGTCCGTAAACATATTTAAGTATAAAAATGACGTTCTGGTCTGTCTGCATGAGGAGAAAGCTTATGATTATAAAAAATACTGATAATTTGATTTCCTTTGTGAAAGGACTGACAAAGAGGGGGTTGAGCGCTTACAAACATGTTTCACCTCGCCACATAATTTATGTGCCTGTTCCAAGTCAGGAGTCTGTAGTTCAGTGGTTGTCGTTGGTTCATGTCTGTCATATTTGTCTTGTTACAAATTAGGCTGTTAGTTTTCTCGTTTGAATTGTTTCACATTTTCATCAGGTCATGAGTCTGTAATTGAGTGTTCTTTTCGAAGTTTCCCTTTAATTGTGTTGTAGCAATGAGAATGGAAACGGGGAATGTTTCAAAGAGAGAACAATCTGACCAAAGTAGTTTGTTCTTCTGTTGTTCTATTGCATCACTGTATCAGGTTAGTGGAGAGTTGAGCATCAGCTTACATGTTTAATACTGGGTGCCTGTCCCAAGTCAGGAGCCTGTAATTCACTGGCTGTCGTTTGTTGCTGTAAATTATATTTGTTATTTTGTTTATTGTTTTGTACATAAATCAAAACGTGAGTTTTCTCGTTTGAATTGTTTTATATTTTTCATTTCGGGGCGTTTTATAGCTTGCTATGCGTCATGGGTTTTTGTTCATCGTAGAAGGCCCTACGATGACACATAGTTGGTAACTTCTACGTCTGGTAGAGAATTATCTCATTGTCAATCATACCACATCTTTTCATTCAAATACCTATAATTTCTACTTAAGAAACGATCTAGATGAAGACGTTTTAAAAACTACTGAACTTAAACTGATACCGAGCACTAAAAGTATCCAGTATGTATAGACTGCCTTAATAACACAAAAAACTATTTTGTTTATTCGCACACAGTAAACGTTGAAGTACACCCGTACGCATATTTCTGTTATTCTGATTAGATCTTTTAAACCCGTTAAGAATTTGTTATCAATATTTTGAAAGTTTTGTCTAAAAAGAGGAATCAGAAATATTCGAAAAAAACTCTCTGGAGTTCTTGTATAAGCCACGTCCCACTGAAGGCCAGTTAGTCTCCTTTGACAGTTAAGATTTCTCTACTCTATATACTACACTTAACACATAACATTATCCCACAAAACTTTTCTTATTTAATAAAATTGTCTATCCACAAATCTGGGTATTACTATAACGTTTGTAGTCAGAAACAATCTTACAAAAAATTACTCTTATTGGACATTCAAAGAAACGATTTAATCCGTCTAGTTTTACTTGATTATATTTATATTTGCGTGATTAGTATTCCGATGGGGACTAACTGTGTCCTTTTTTTTTTGTTGTAGATTTATTTTTTTACTTTTACGAACCACAATTGTTTACGAAACTCCAGTAACGATATACCACCTGATAAATGAATTCAAAAATGACTACCGATATTTAAATCTACATGTATATATTCTCTATAAACAACCCCGATTTTTCTTAAAATACAAATGAAATATACCCACCACTACTCACTCTTATTAAAACCAACGTTAATAAAGATTGTTGTCGGTATTTAGACCTTGATATTAGAACTTCTCATGGAAATATTCATACTGACAAAATATATTAGAACTTCTCATGGAAATATTCATACTGACAATATACATAAGAACTTCTTATGGAAATATTCATACTGACAATATATATTAGAAATTCTCATGGACATATTCATACTGACAAAATATATGACAAATAACACTCTTCTTTCCCCATGGTTAAATTTTCTTTACATGATTGCGATGTTCTGTTGGCTCTTTCTTGTGATGTTAACATTTCTTAGTTGACTTGGTATCGACGTGTTCGTAGTGCCATAGTTCATTAATAAACGCATTTTACAGCAAGGAAAAGACAGAGCGTGGCACTCCCCTTCATTATCACATCCCATTCGGACGAGGATGAGTATCTATACATCCCGCACAAATGTTCAGTTCAATTTAGTGATAGACTCGATGGTATCTTGTATAGACACCTATTACTGAATACCGTATATGTTGATCTCGTCTTGTTTGTGTGTCGTTTGTTTGCTGTCTCATCAACGCATCCTCCATCTCCTTCTTTTATTAATAAAATAAAACTGTGCATAGTGTAAACAGTGTTTCTCTTCGACTTTCTTCACTTGGATCAAATGAACACAAACATTACTGAAAATTAATCAAACAAACATAAGTCAAATGAATAAATGAAACAATAAGCAACAAACCAGAATAGCCAAACAGTTTATGATGAAATTTGCCTGAAAATGTACGAAAATAATGAGTGATAAATAAGTCAATGATCAATAACAAAGTGCATCGATCACTGATTCGTATCCTGCTCTTGCTTTTCGAATGAAAGGAAATACAAACCAAACAATGTGGATGCAGACAATAGAAAGTGGAAAAAACGCGGTCTAGCTTATATACGTAATACTAAACTGGGAAATCCAATATCAAGAAGCAATGCAACAACATTTGTTACGAACAGACAGAGTTTAACACCTACCCCGTGTCAGCGGGGATACTAACTATTTCAATTAAGTCTGCACTAAAGTACTAACGGTGAAAAATTACATAATACATTTGTTAATTGAAAATGTCTATCACAATTCTTTTGAAAACATGTCAAAGCATGGAGCATAACTGACGGATTGATAATACAGTCATCTACCAGTCGCGTTGACCCAGTGGTACCTACCTTAAAAGATTTAGGTCAAATTCACAAAACACACTGAGGCATGAAATATTAACAAGAATACCTAGGTACACTAGAAACGTATGTAACTATTTTTGGCGAAAATCACACATGTTCGATCTGCAATAAACTATCCTTCGTGTACGCCCGAAGTCAAACTTATGGAAACTTAATTATATGAGTAACACGAGAGGCAAAATATGCATGGTACATAAGGACGGAAATTTCGGACTGTTAGTTCTCGAATTCCCATCTTTTTGATAACTGGAAATGGGAACAGTTTTTTGCAGGGTTTTATTTTCTTTCAACATGCATAATCTTTTCATGCATACAACAAGGTTTGATTGTATATAGTTAAACTAGGGTCTAACTTTAACAAAAGGTATGACCATATTTGAAAGATTATGGTTTTATTTTAATTGAAAAGTTTTGAAGATGAAATAAAAGATTTAGCCAGTACATGATATCATATATGAAACGAAGTAAATCAAGTTCAGTCCTACATATAATTGTGTATGCTATCATTGAAGATATCAATCTCCTTGGGAATAACCTATATTATGGAAGCACAGGTGGTTTGCATATAAATGTTATTTATCACAGCTGGATTGCATATCAATTTTTAATATTGTTTTGAATAATGCAGTTGTTGCTGTCATTAGTATGTGCTTTGATCATACAGATTACAGATTTATGCACAGTCAAAGAGGGTTTCATTTTAAATGATTCATTATTTTAAACCAGATTCTTAATAAAAATGTATTGACAATCTGCTTTATAAAAGAACGTTATTAGTTGATTCAGCAGATTTTTAAATCATTATTTTTTAATTTGTTTTTAAATTATCACTGAAAACTTAAAACACGATCGTTTAATATACATGTTGTTCAATGTTTGTCGTTTGTTGGTGTGGTTCATAGGTGTTTCTCGTTTCTCGTTTGTTATATAGATTAGACCGTTGGTTTTCCTGTTTGAATTGTTTTACACTAGTCATTTGGTGGCCCTTTATAGTTTGCTGTTCGGTGTGAGCCAAGGCTCCGTGTTGAAGGCCGTACTTTGACCTATAATTGTAAACTTTTTATACATTGTGACTTGGATGGAGAGTTGTCTTATTGGCACTCATACCACATCTTCTTATTAATATTTAGAAAACTTTACGTATTAGTAGCTCTTATTATCCGCAAAAAGTTTATCATAATAATCTTGTCTTCCACCTCTTTCTCGTCGTCGTAATTATCATTGTCATCACTACAATCAAAATCCTTATCCTCCCCCTCCTCCTAATCAGCATCACCATCATCATCATTTTGTCGTCAACCTCCTCCTCGTCCATGTCGTCTTCTTCGCCTTCGTCATCATCATCATTATCATCATCATCATCAGCAGCAGCGTCATTACCTTGTACTCTTTGAACGACTTGAACAGTATACAAATTACTGTTATGTATTATTTAGTATATATAGTTAAATAAAAAATTTAATATGTGAAATATGAAATTTTGACCAACTACACATAATATATTGACCTTTACTTTTTGCTTTGACATTATGTGTGTTTCATGGTTGTGTTCTGTCACAATCAAATATTTTAAAAACAAGGAACGTAATGAAATGTACATGACCTTGCAATACCATAATTTGACATAAAACATTATGTTGGACTTTTTGGTTTCATGTTTTGTAGTCTATCAAGTCACAGATCACTTTGAACATTTCTTAACATTTAGATAATGTTGTTTCTCCTCATCTTACATTATCCGATATATTACAGATTTGTACTCAATCTCATAAGAACTCATTCATGAATGAAAAACCTGTGACAGATTTTGATAGATCACCGACAAAGTGATGAAAGCTCCGCCTCTTCCTTCTTTAATCCATAGACCGTGAGATTATTACATAGTAAAGTTCTTTAAGGAAATAGTTTAAGAGGAACACGACAACCCTGTATATCACCCAAAATAATCGGTAAGTATCATTTTATAAAATGTTCTTACTTATATCCTATAAATACGTGTATATATATATAGTTATGTGGTTCATATTTTGTAAATAATATGTAAATATTATGACATTGTTTGACGTTTATAAATGCAATTTAAATCAATTATTAATCAGGGGCAAATTGAAGTGCACTCATCGATCTGCTATCAAATCAAAATAGATTTCTATATAAAAAAAATGCATTAGATATGTAAATATTTTCGATTACGTGGTTACCGGTAATTATATTACCTAAAGGTCAGTTATTGTCTCAGGTTTGTGACATACTTGTCATATCATCATTGTAAATGGGTCAACTATGTGAGAAGAAAAATGAATAGCTAGATTTAAAAGTTAAAAAATACCAAGTCGGGCAATTATAAATAAAAGAAAGGCTGAGAACACCACGATCAAAACAAAATATGTACAAATGACGAATAGTCCACCCGACACTACACAGAAAACTGACGATTGAGCAAATAAACTACACAATGGAAAACTATGGAATATAGAAGATATCTTGTATAGCCACTCTTAATATCGCCGATACAATGTATATTGTTTGATACAATCATAAGATATCGACTCGAAACGTGTTTATGGGGATAACCTTCATAATGTATACTCAGGTTCAAAGGTTTTGGAGTCAAAAAACATTGAAGAGCATTAAAATAATCGAGGTCTGACTAAGAAAGGCAAAATGAGCATTGATATTAAACTTCATTTAGTAAATAGTGTTATTATCTTCATTTTGTGTGGTACACAAACGTTTTTTTTCCTTCATCATTAAAGAAATTTGTTTATCTTGAATATCTGAAGATGTTTTCAAAATATACTGTAAAGTATATGAAATGTTCAAAACGCAAGTCATCAAATTATAGATTTTTATTTTGTTTGGCAAAAAATGTGTGCAGTTTGATAGATACATGTGAAAGAGTCCTATTGTCAAATGACACAATAGGTTTAATGTTATGTTATATAAAAATATAATATTTACATGTTAAACGTCATTGTTATATGTGTTTACATGTTACTTAAAAAATGTCAATGACCTTTGAAATCATATCCTGGTGTTGAATTTCCTTACATAAAAAAGTAATTATCATTAATAGGAGTAACATTAACTGGCACAATCGGTGATTTCCCATATGAGTGTCAATTAACAAATGTTGATGCAAATGCAAATATAAAGAGTTAAAAAAGGAAGAACTTCAGCAAAATCTTAACTATTTGACTTGTATATGCTTAGAAATAATATAAAGCACAACCGTCTCCCCAAAAGATATATTTCAACAGTAAATACATTTTTGTGCTTATTTATTCAAATTGTATGGCAAAATAATTTTTGGGCGACAACGCTTGTGCTCTATAGTAATTTAGCCAAAATGTTCTTAAAATTATATAATTTTTTGCAAAAATCTAAGAAGTCTTGCTTATAACTTATTTTTATGTGACAGTCAAATTGTGTCATCAAGGCTTTGCTTAAATTCACATTTTCTCAACTCCTTTCTGCGATGGTTAAAATATCTTCCAATGTTTTATTTCCGGTGAATTTGCAGGGTAAAATATGCTCCAAATTGTATCGATTTAAAATAAGCAATCAAATATTCACCTATTCGATATTTTTCTTTAATTCAAAGGTGTAAGCTTTAGTACGAACAAAAAGTTGAAAAGTTGACACCAGAATTGTAAGAAGAATATGTCTTTCAATTCTATCATGGAGAGTGACCATTTAATGTTCGGGAGGGGTAGTTTAAACATGAATAACCCGACATTGCAACTGCCAAACATTTGTAATCTTTACCAAATGCAAATATATATCCTGACCAACAAATTGTTGGAAATAGTTATGCAAGAAAAATGAAAAGTCAGCTATCAAAGATGGTCAAGCTTAATTAACATAGACATTGAAATTAGAAAGAAAATATATCTCTAAATCAGACCAAAAACGATGTCGCATCTTTCTTAAGGTTTATACTTCCAAAATAGTGACCCTGTCCATAGAATTATTGAATATAATACTTCCAAGCTCTGTCCAAACATATATAAAAATAAGGAGATGTTGCATGCTTTTAAAAAATATCCAATATACCTACAATGCTACGTGTAGAGCATAATGTTCCACATTGTATACAACTGCAATGTCAATAAGGACCAGTTATGCAATTAAAAATTCATGATCTTCGAATTAACTTATTCGATTGATGATTCATTTGTGTATCAAAGTTCGGCTGAAATGACGAAAAGACAAAAAACAGTCGACAAAACAGTACACAGAAAACGGAAGACTTGAAGCAACACAAACTCCACCAAAAACCGGGGGTGTATCAGGTGCTCCGGTAGGTTAAACAGATCTAACGGTAGAAATGAAACGGTGTTTATATGTAAGGCCCAAAACATGACTACCAGGGTAGGTGTAGAGCAATACATATAAGTGTATGTATACTAGTCCTTCATAACAAACAACCATGTTTGTCTCTGACTGTTATTGACGTCTTTACACTTAACCCAGTTTGCAGTTGGATGTGTACTGATTGATATTATAGTCTGAGATACATGATTTTTTACTACTGGTTATTGGCTTTGAACTAGTTTTCAGTATATGCGAACACTCTCACATCTGTACTTTGTGTCTTTTGTGTTTTTGTTAGTTGCTTTTGTTCTTCGTATCGTTCTGATGAATAAAGCCCTTTTCAACATATTTTTTATAGTTTGTTCTTGTGTTGTGCTGTTACACTATTGTCCCTGGTTAGGGGAGGGTTGGCGCACCTGCAAATATGTTTAACCCCGACATATTCTGTATGTGCCTGTCCAAAGTCAGGAGCCTGTAATTCAGTGTTTGTAGTTTGTTGCTGCATTTCATATTTATGTTTCGTTGTTGTATTGTACATAAATCAGATCGTTGTTTTTTTTCGTTTGAACTGTTACCAAATTTGTCATTTCGGGGCTTTTTAAAGCTTCTTGTGCGGTATGGGTTTTGCTAATTGTTAAATACCGTACGGTAATCTAGAGTTGCTAACCTTCTACGTCATTTGGTCTCTGGTGGAGATTTGTCTCATTGGTAATCATACCACATCTTCTTATTTCTATAATAACCACCAGTTTTGTGCTTTTGAACACACTTTAGCATCTGCTGTCAACCCTTAAATGAAAAATTCTTAAATAAATTAACGCAGTACCTTACTAAAAGAAAATCTAAGTTCTTTCATCAAAATTTGAAATTTCATTGCCTGTACAAGGAATAAAATAGGTGCGAAATGAACAACGCAGAAAACCCTTAAAACTTCATTCATTTGGAATTTTGTTATGTGAGTGAGAGTACGGTGATTGGTCAAAATGTATATACTGTAGTCATACCAGATTTCAGTTGTCGCTTTTCTCTTTTTATATTAAGGCAGCCAGTTCCTTTGGTCGAGCTAAACTTCTTTGTTTAATCCCCTTTTGTCTACACTGAACTTACAATTTTCAGTAAAATGTAAGAAAAGGATACCATTTTGAATATTTTTGACTGTTTTTGTTGTGAAAGAATTTGCATGTTGAATAGTTTATCTATCGAGTACGAGTGTTTCAACCTAAAAAAAATAATCAAAACAAAATAAATGATATTAATAGAGGGATAATTCGTACATAAGAAAACCATGCAAATAATTCATTATGTAAACACCTATGTGGTTTTCATACTGATAGTTTGTTCTATTCGTTGGTGGGTTCAGAGGGCATACTCCCAGCCCCCTTTGATCGGGCAAAATATGATTTGTTTGCTTAAAATCGGCCAAAAAATGTGTCGCCTTGCTACGCTCGACTTTATTTTTGGCATTTGCACAAGTAGGCCCCCTTTCCTTAAACCCTGAATAATATAGGAACACAAGTTCCAAATTCAAGCAAGAGAGCTCAATTCTTCAACCATATGTATAGTACGTGAAGCAGGAAGCTAGTATTGATAAGGTAGTTTCGTGTTCGTTTTCTGAGTTTTTTTGCATAATATAAAGTTATAGTCGCTCTTTAAGAACATAGTTTAGATTTGTGTCTGATAACAGCGTGCCTTGCAGTTTCTTATGTGTTCCATATATAATAAATAATAATAATAATAATAATATTACTTCAAGAGTATAGCCTCATTTGTTACAACTTATCTTCCTGACAATTCTCACATAATAAGTGCAAATTAACTAAGTACATAACATCTCATATCTTAATACATGTACATAAATATTCAATATTATATATTCGCAAATCCGTTAAAAGTCAACATATACACTAATTAATTAACCGGCCATAGAGAGGCATATTTGTACATACTAAGCAGATAGGAACATGTATGATTGACAACATGTTAATTAAAATATATATTCACCTACCGAACATTCAAATCTTTTCTGTGTGGTATATTTCATGGTCGTCCTCTCGATCTTCCGATTGAAGCCGACACATTATCTAGTCTAATAACTTTAAATGTGCAGATCCAGCCATTGACCCTACGAATGTCCACTGTGGACATGTATTTACCATTGACCCTACGAGTGTCCACTGTGGACCTGTATTGAGATTAAGATTCTGATTCCCCCCTTCCCCCACCCTTCCATTGTATTACGCCTAAGGTTGATATTGATACAGAAACTGAGTACATATATACAGCTATTTTTTGTTCGTTCGGTTGTTTTCATCTCTGGATTAAGGACACCTGTTTCTCAACACTGGAATAAATGATATAAAAATGTTTACGTAAAGAATCAATTAATATTTTTCTAATATGAAATGGTAAAATTGCAGATTTTCTTTATCAGTCGTCACAAACATTCGTTTTTTAATGGTGTTAATTTCAAACAGATTGATCGTGTTCTATGAACGAAGCATACATAAGACAAATAAATAACATGACATTAATTATTCAACCTCGTCCACCATTTACAAAATAATAGATTAAGACGTTTGCTTTGCGCAGAGAGTCGAATACGACAATGCACAAGCCCATGTTCTCAATCGTT